ATCCACTCCTCTTACTCCTGTGTTAAACATGCCATATATTGCAAGAATACTGAACTCTACTTAGGATAGAAATTACTATGTCTTAAAGACTGAGTCTCTTGAATTCAACATATAGATTTATGCCAAATGATATGTAAATTGGGTCTTCAATTATTTTTTATTTTTATCTGATTCTTTAAATAAGCTTTTATTGCTGTCTTCTATTTCTTACATCATTATAGTTGTCTTAATTATCAGTTAATTTTCAGAAAAAATGGCTTGAAAATACATTCAGGCTAAGTCTAAAGAGAAGTCAAAAGCTACTTAAAAGAGTGGGAAACCATTCCTTCTCTTTTCCTCCCTCCCCCACTATAATTTCTAGGTTCAGGATTGATGATGTGTCCATTTATTATTAGGGTAGGTCAGGGCCATTTTCACAAACCCTTCCCTTGAAGACAGCCATGGTTGAGACCAGAACAAACTCATTATATCAACGAGCATATATTAAGAGCCTACTGTGTGCTACCACTAGGGGTGCAAAGACAAAAAAGACACCTGCCTCTGTCCTCAAGGAGGTTACGGTTCAGGGAGACACTATGTACCTATATAATTGTAGGCAGCTTCAGGTTTCTCCATGGCCAAAGAGCATCATCAAAGCAAAGAGGCTTTACTTCTGATAGTCAAGCATATGTGACACACTGGCCATTCCAGGAAGTATGGCTGGGTAGTAAGCCTAGACCCTGGTAATTCCTGGTGACAATGGGACCTGTTTCCAGGACCACCCAGGCATTGTTGCACTACTCACAAAGTGGTCAATGTCCTTCAGAGCTGAGTGTATATGTCCCCAGAGATAGCCAGGGTACAAAATCATACCTCTGCAACCCTAATGATTCATGGTATGTCCGCTATTCATATATAATAAAGATGAATGTGAGCAAAGTGGATAGTGAATGTTACCTAATTGCCTTACCTTGCCTTTTGTTCTGTATCAAATTTATTTGCATGCTCCAGAGAGGATCTTGGGATTAGATAAATATTGAACCCTAAATTAGTTATCTATAACAAAGGGTTTTGATCTCCTCCCAGGACTAGGTCAGCCACCAAAAGAAAAAAAAAAAAAGACTTAAAAGTAGGAAGCTAAACTAACAAGGTCATTGTTCTTTACCCAGCCAAATCCACATTCCTATCTTTCTTATCCACATGTGTAAGTAGCAAAACCTGATTATTTTGATGCTGGATTTTGGTCAGCAGAAAAATCTATCTCCCTACATAATTATTTGCAAAATACAAGATTTCTTCTCCATATCTCCCCTCCCTATTCCAACCTCCAATCCCCAACTTCCTTGTTCTTTAAACTGTCAACCTAGAGAGCCTAATTTAATAATAATAATAATAATAACAGCCAATAGGAGTTGAGCTCCTAGTCCATTTCTAAAACCCCAAAGCTGAGAAACAAATAGTAATAAAACAAAGTTACTCAAATCAATTTATTACTACAGGTTTATTTCACTTCAAAAATGCAAGGTCATTTGTAAAGAGTTTTGTTTCCCTCCATGTAAAACTCTGATTTTTTAAATGAATAATGTGTCCCTTTCACCTGTTTAATAATAATTTCTAAACAAAGCATAATTTTTTGGCATTGCCTTAATATGCAAAGATAGCACTACAAGTCATTAATCCATAATCCCTTAATTTTTTTTTCCCCCGAGTGATCACAAGATTTGGGCTCTTTTCCCGCCAGAGCCTCTTAACTAGCTATGTGACCTTGGGCTCTTCAGTCACTCATTTCCTTCTCTTTAAAATAGGAATAATGCTTTTATTACTATGAGTGTGGCCTGGGGGATTATAACTCAGCTCCCTCCCTTTACAGGTGAGGAAATCAGGCCAAGAACATGGGGCAGGGGCGTCGCTCAAGGTCATATAGTACCCATCCAGGTCCCCACATAGGAAGATTGTGAGGAGGTTCAAATATAACATTAAGTATGTGGAAACTGTAAAGTATTATATAAAACATACTCTTCCCCCCACCATGCTTTTTGCACTAGCTTACTGGACTGCCGGCCAAGAGAGGAAAAAGGCAAAATTAAAAAAAAAAATGTTTGGACACTCCCTTTTGTATGACAGCACAAAGGGGTGGCTTCTCCCACGACAGCGATTCCTACAGGATCCCAAACCAACCAATTAAATGACATTCATTGAGAAAGGTCCTCTAACAGGATCTATGCACCTGTCTATATCCCTCCACAAGGGGGTTACGAGGCTGCCGTAACCAAAAGTACCAGGCAAAGTTTGCTCACCACCCTGAAGGCTTTATCTGTCACTTAGGGAACCCCTCTGATAGCAGCCCCCAGCACTTATCAGTGCAGAGAGAGCCTTCATCTACTATTAGCTAGTTCAGGACTAATGAATTGCATGCGTTTTTGCTAGTCAATTGAGAAGGTAGTGGAGGGATGGCTGGACTTAGAATCAGGAAGACCTGTACTCAAAATATGCCTCTGATACTTGCTAGTTGTGTGACCCTGAGAAGTTACTGAACCTCTCTGTCAGTCCCAGATTCCTCACCTGTAAAAAGGTGAAAATAATAGAACTTAAATCATAAGGTTGTTATGAGGGTCAAATGAGATAATAGAAATTAAAGTGCTTTGCAAACCCTAAAGCACCATGTAAATATTAGCTATTATTTTAGCCTCAGTTTCCCCAGCTGTAAAATGGGAATAATTACTATACCACACAGGGTCATAGGAAACATAGATTTAGAGTTGGAAGGGACTTTGGGAGTTCATCTAATATGACCGCTAAAGTCACCGGCTCAAGAAGTCAGAATTAGAACACAAGTCCCCTTAGTCCAAATCCAGCATATTCCTCCCCCCCCAACGCATAAAAAAAGATACTGCATGTGAATGCACTTTGTAAACTTAAAATCATAATCTAAATGCCAGGCATCCGACAACCATGGCCATGGAGGAGAGTGGCATTAGCTAAAACCTTGGGCTTTCTTAACAACTCAGCTAACCAGCCATCCATGATGTTATGGAGCCCCTTTTCAGCCTGGGTTTTCTTAGAAGTTGTGTTTTGTTTGGTGTGTTTAAAGTGTTCAGAGACTGGCTTAAAAATGGGGGGTTATGAGGGGTGCAATATTAAAGCAATAATAGTTGAGAAATTCCTGATTACTAATGACTTGCCATCTGGTTAGCTCTTAAAGGCAATGGACTAATTCTGCTTTGGGCAGATGATAATACTGAAGGTGAACCATGAACTGAAACAATACATTTCTGAGCTAAGTACAGTTATTAATATATGATGTTGCAGACCAACATTTCTTCCCATTGTGAAATCTATTTATTTATTTATTTTTAAATTTTACACTCGTAGTATAAGGTTGCTATGGGTACCACACAACATCTGTTCTAGCCCCAATAGGTTCTGATAAAGTAACCTACAAATCCTCTAAATTAAAAATCTGAGTTCGTTTTTGTTTTGTTTTGTTTTGTTTTGTTTTTTCCCATTGCGCTCACAGCAGGGTGCTCTGTACCTTGCCTACAGTCCGGTTTAATTCTCTAAAAAGAATATTTTTAGAGGCACATCGGACTAAATGATTTCTCTCCGAGCACACCATTCCCCAGTGGCTTCTCAGGGTCCTAAATTCGCCAGCAGCAACTGGAAAGAAGGGAATGCCCTCCCATTGCGGAGGGTGAGCTGGGAGCTAGCTGGAGAGCTCGGGTAAACTCGGCCCGGTGAGTCAGAAAAAGAAAACTGAGCAAATAAAAGCAAGTTACATTCATTCCCTTCTGCTGCCATAAGAAACGGAAATCGGAGGACCACTTGCGTTATATGGACCACATAGGTTACTTTTACCCCGGTCCTGCCTGGGAAGCGAACGCTGCTTCTCTTCTATTCCCATATGGTTGGTGGGGTGGGGGATGGGAGGAGATAGGGTAGGGAGGAATAGGTTCGAAGGGTCTCAAGTTTAATTTTAACCCAGTCTACGGGTATTCCCAGAGCTGTTACACGCCCGGGCACGGAGCCTCGGAGCTAGGGGGATGCTCAGTCAGTCACCTGGGGAGGAATAAACAGCTTGCTCCATTCGCAAAGAAGCTCGCTGGCAGCCAGCCCAAGACGCACGTTCCTTGTTGCCCTTTACGAGCGCAAAGGGACCAGGGAAACTAGTCCCCTAGGGACCTGGCTGCCCCCCCTACCCCCGGCTCCGACCCTGGCCGCTCACATAGCCCTTTGAAGGGAGGGTAGCAGCTCGGTGACGGAACAGTCAAGCCGCAGGGCGCACCCGGCAGGGGCGACCTCCGGAGTGCGCCCGCCCAGTGGCCAGGGATGGACAGACACTTCCCCGGCAGGCGGTCGTCCGGGCAAACTTCCCTGTCCTTTACACGCTCACCCCCTATTCTTTGAGTTTCCTTCTTTGCAGCCCCCATACCAATGAGAAAATGGAAGGGGCGAGAGAGGCTGGCGGGCAGCTAGCCCTCCTCCTTCCTTCCTTCCTTCCTTCCTTCCTTCTCTCTCTCTCCTTCCTTCCCTCCCCACACTCCGATTGCACTCTCCCTCCCCCACCAAAAGGCTCATCCCTTCCACTCCCCCCTAAACCTAAGCCCCAGGCTCTGCGCTGTCCCATCGCAGCTGCGGAAACAAAGCCAGATGCGGGGGAGGGGGCGGGAACAACTGCGGGGGCACCGGGAAGGTAGCGGGAGACGGGAGCCCAGCCCAGGTGAAGCCGGCTAGCCACCGGCTCCCGGCTCCCACGGCCAAGCTAAGCCGAGCGCTCGGAGCGCACGGGGGCAGCGGGGCTGTGGCTGCCCAGGCTGAATAGATGGAAGGCGAAGAGGAAAAGTATCGCTCTCCCTACGCAATCGCTTCCCTGCCTCTCCCTCCTAAAAGCCCCAGCGAGGCAGCCCTGCCCGCTGAGCGCCTCCGGCTCTGCCCGGCTGGGAGTTGGCGGTGGCTGAGGAGAAGGAGGAGAGACAGGCTGGAGGGAGAGGAAGCAGTTGCCAGGGCGAGTGAGCAGCGCTTACCTCTGTCCAGTGTGAGCGGCTGGACCACTGTCAACGTCGCCATGTCTGCGGTGGGAGCTCAAATGACTCTCAGCCCAGCCAGCCGCGGCTGCTTATAGTGAGAAAAAGAGGAGGGGATGGGGGGCGGGGGCGGGGGAGGGGAGACTAGGAGGCAGGCAGAGGAGCGGAGGAGGGGCGATGTGGAGGTGCTGGGGTGGAGGAGGAAAGACGAGGCCGGGGTGGGTTGGGAGACAGTTGGGAAAGCGACTGACTACTAGGTGATGTGCAGCCCCATCCAAGCAGGGGGAGCAGCTAGGAGCGGAGCGGAGTAGGTATCCCTTAGCCATCACGGGGCCGCAGGGCCCCACAACTTTGCTTTTCACTCTCAGGGAAGCTCCCTGCCATCACTTTCATCCGGCCCTTTCCTTCAACTCGCCCGTTACATCCACATTCGAAGGGCTTGGCCATTATAAGAAATTGTCAAGAATTGTAAATTGATGCTACTGCTTCTCTGCCACTTTGAGGAAAAAACAAAAACAACAACAAAAAATCTCCCTTCTTCCCCTTTCCTTCCGCGCACCGTCTCCCCTTCCAAATATCTGCTTGATTAATAAGAAACAATGGCATTGACAGTGATGTTGTTTCCGCACCGCTCTATAAGTTTCTGTTCAAAATAGAATTTTGGAATGTTATGGGTATTACAGGTAACCGACTTAAGGTTACTCCACCGAGGAGTATTTTTCTTTGGAAACGATTTACTTTGGGGGAATGTCTGTTCTTAAAAGTCAAAGGTCAAGGGAAAGTGAAGATATAAAATACAAAGAACAGTCTGGACCTCTCAATTCTAGGGAAATAAGGCCTATTTAAACAACAGCAGCCAGCATTTATATAGCCCATGAGGTTTGCAAAGTGTTTTACATGTTATTTAATTTTATCTTTGTGTAACACCCTGATCTAGAACAATGGCCATTCCATTTGTTATTCATTTAATGGCCCGTCTGAATCCACTATTTGATGACCTTTCTCTCTGCCTCCCTTCTTTGCCCCTTTTCCAATATCCCTGCTCCCTTTGAAAGGAGGGTGGGGGTTGTGAGTGCAACTGTCACCATCTTGTCATAATAGGAATTCTTAATTCACAAATCACGTGACCAATCGGTGCTAGAAAACCCTTAGGATAAGAAAAATGATGGTAGTGATAGCAGTTTAGGAATGATGAAACCTCATTGGAGAGAGGTGTTCCGGTGCTTAGAGTAGAGCTCGTGCTACGGAACTGGTGATGGAGCTTGGAGGATTGAAGCCAAGCCGGAGTTTAAATCCTGGCTTTGCCATTTACAGTGTTCCTGGAATTGGTTAAATCATTTAACTTCTGGGCCTCAATTTCTTTATCTATAAAATGAAGTGGTTGGTCTAGATAATCTTTAAAATCCTTTCTGGTTCTAAATCTATGACCATATGACATAAAGCTGGCCTTGCAAACAGGAGGACTTGGGTTCAGACCCCACCCCCTTCACATATACTGGGTTTATATAAACCCCACCTCTTAACTGCTATCATAAGTGACTTGTGCATAGATGAGTGATTTAACCCCTCAGTGCCCCAAGCAACTCTCTAATGACTGTAGTTCATATTCAGCTTACCCATTTTCATGGTGTTGGCACATTTCCCATAATCATGAGATCACATACCTTGACCAAAACACAAATCAGCCACAAGTTTCCCTGGACTTTGTCAACAACAACTGCTTTTGAAAAAAGGCTTGCAACAAAACAGCTATGTCTCTGATTCTTATACACCAAAACGTTGTGTGTGTGGTTTTTTTTGGAGGGGGATGGGAGGGCAACTAGCTTAAAGTACTCCCTCATCCTACAGGTTCTATTAGAAAGAATAGGAAATATTTAGCAATACTCGGAAAGTATGTCACGAGTGAAACAATCAACAGAAGCTTAAGGAATATGTACAATAAAAGGAACTTAGTGTGTATTGAACCAGTGTCAGTCGGAAAGAGCTGGGTTCAAGTCTTGCTTCTGACAAAGACTAGCTTTGTAGCCCTGCACAAATAAATATCTTTACTCTCTCAGTGCCCCTAGACAGTTATCTAAGACTATGTGTATAGGAGAAGGAAATAACAAACTACTACAATATTTTCACCAAGGAAACCCCAAATGGGGGTCACAAAGAGTAGGACACGACTGAAATGACTGAATGACAATAGTAATTAATTTAGGAACTGCAGTGACAGAGGGACTTTCCATGCTGGGAGTTCTATATGCCAGTGAAATTGTAACCATAACTCTGGAGCTGGAAGAGTTGAGGGGGGAGAGAGAAAGAGAGCGAAAGAGAGAGAGACAGACAGAGATAGAGACTGACAGAGAGAGACAGAGGCAGAAAGAGACAGAGACACAGGGAGAAGAGAAGGAGGAGGAGAGGAGACAGAGAGACACAGAGAGAGATACAGAGATGGAGAGAAATTGCCTTAGACAGTTCTCTAAAATGATACTACCTTCTCTAAGACTACACAGAGAAGGTGTCGACCCATATTAGCAGAGTGAGTTTTCTCATCTGGGAGTTCTTTATTCCAATAAAATCCCTATCTATCCCTTTTGTACGAACTTATTTGTATGTACTTTTTATCTACTCTGGTTGCTAGGTGGCCCAATGGATAGAGCTCTGTATCTGGCATCAAACCCAGCCTCAGGCACTTATTAGCTGTGTGATCCTGGACAAGTCATTTAACTGCTGTCTGCCTCAGTTTCTCCATCTGTAAAATGGGGAAAATAATTGTTTCTCCATCCCAGGATTGTTGTAGGGATCAAATGAGATATTTGTAAAGTGTATAGCAAAGTGCCTGGCACATAATAATGGCTTCATAAATACTTACTCTCTCCCTTCCTGCTAGATGCAATGAATGATTTAATTTTTGTCTTTTTATTCCCAATGCCAAACAATGTGTGGCACATAGTAAGGCAATTAATGAATGATTATTGATTGACTGATATATACATATGTGTATAACTACTTAAATCCTTTGATTTTTCATATTCAAGCTATATAAAAATAATTTAAACTTTGTACAATGGGCTGTATGACAATTTTGTCTAATCTCCTGATAGAATTAGCAATGTTAACTGTGTCCACAGGTGGTTCAAATGTCAAGTTTGAATCTTTTAACAATGTGCTTGGGCACAAATAGCCTTTTAAATCACCTAATTTGTAACACTGGGGGCCCATAGTTCCCGGGTCCTCCTACCCAAATTTCTCCATTGCCCTGTCCATAGAGCTGAAATTGATCTTTGAAAGACAAATATCTGTAGAAAAGGTAGGCCATATGAAAAAAGACTGAGGCTAAATATTGCACATAAAGGCCCTCAAAGCAAGGGTCTGAACGAATAGAGGTTATCATTAGAATGGCTACTCTGGGATATATAAGCTGATCCCCGTAGAAAAGCAAGCCAAGAGCCTAACTCTCCTTAATTGATATGACAAAGTCAAATGCATATTCTTAAGATATGCAGAAAATGTGTTTGGTTAGATTATAAATAGGATTCACCAAGCACACTTTTAAAGGAGAAAATATCACCCTAAAACTAGGACTCTCAGCCTTGAGAGTGTTAGAAATTTTTTGAGTGATAAAAAATAGATAAAGCATTATCTACCTTAATTCATACTGCATCATCCAAACAACTCGGGGAGTTTAAGATAGAAAAGCAGGGCAGCTAGGTGGGACAACCCTAGAGTCAGGAGGACTTGAGTTCAAATCCAGCCTCAGACACTTGACACTTACTAGCTGTGTGACCCTGGGCAAGTCACTTAAACCCAATTGCAAAAAAGACAGAGTGCCAAACTTTTCCCTTCAGTGTAGTTGCATGTGGGTTTATTTTTTTTTAATCATAGTTACAGAAGCTCTTGCCTTCTTTTGTTTGCTTAGACTATTATTTTTTTGGATAATTTCAGTCATTTTAAATTGTGATTCTTATACCCACATGGTTTCTGTGCAGACATTAGGAGTTTTTTGTGTTTTTTTTTTTTAATTTCATCTGTCTAGATTTTCATCTTGGAGTCCTTGTGGACATAGAGTTCAGTGATTAGCAAACAGGCTAAATCTCTCATTAGCATGGGCAGCACATTCTGTTGGGAGAAAATATCTACTAGTTATTTGGCATTTGAAATTATGGAGTTCTATCATTTAAAAAAACAAGTACTTTGTTACTCCAGGGGATATACTAAGGACAATTTAATTATTTATTTATCCACTTTAATATAATCAACACATTTCTACTAAAAACCAGCAAGAAATATAATTGAACTTGTAACATTAAGTCATTTTGTGCTTATCAGGCAGTAATATGTATGAGCAATAACTTTCAGGAGCAAATAAATGCTAAGTAGAAAATCAATGTTATAACCCTTGCATTAAAAAACTTAGTCAAATCAGAATTAAATGCATCCATGGCTAGAAGATGTTTGACTATTAGGGTCATAGGATCCTAGATTTAGAGTTGGAAGGGACCTTAGGTTCCACTGAGTCCACCTTTCTCATTTTACAGATGAAGAAACTGAAATACAAGAGGTCAAGGGACTTGCCTAAGGTCATAACAGTAAGCATCTGAAGCAGGACTTGAACCCAGGTCTTTATAATTCCAAGTCCAGTTCACCATCCACTACATCATGATGAGAATAATTTGTTCCAATGGCCATGAAGATGGCTGAAGCAGGCACTGTGGAGAACTTAGAGCTTGATCAGACATTGAAGATGCCAAGGTCATCCACTGTATCCTGGCCATCTCTAGTCATAGTAACTTTTGTCTTGCCACTGGACTTTGATGACTCTGGAAGAGAGAATGAGGCTGATGACTTTGTGCAACTGTGCCTCACTTAAATCCAATTCACTCATGAATCAACACACCACCCTGTGATGTCACTGGTCCCTTTTGAAAATGAAGGACAAAACGACACCCCCACCATGACACCTGTTAAAATAAGAGAGCTTACTCTAAATTGTTGAAAGTTCATTCAAATTCCTTTTCATTTCTTTCTAAATAAAGACATCAACATTTTTGTTTCAGAAAACTGAATGTTTGATAAATGTAC